GCTGTGGCTCAAATGATAGAGCGCTAGCCTTGAGCTGAAGAGCTGAGGGACAGCGCCCAGGCCCAGAGTTCAGGACCCACGACCGGACCCAAAAATGATGATTTGTGGTATTTAAATGATACCTCAAAAATTAAGTCATATAAACTTGAAATTAAAATTGTTGAAAACAATGGCAATGCCCCCAAATGTAGCAGTTACTAATTACTTTCATTGCCCTATTCCCTCTTGCCATTGACATCATTTATGTCTGTTGTGTCTTCATATTGCAAATACTAATAGAAACCATTGCTTGTGTCTTGACGTATTGAGTAACATTAAGTTGATAGCTTGAAGTTGGGGAATGGGATGGAATGATTATGCCACAAAAACTACCATATACTGAGTCTTATAGCACCACCAGAAAGCCAGTTTTTAACCATTTAACAGCACTTCACTAGCTATGAGTCAGTCATCTTGAGTACCAACAGGAGAAATAGTCAAATGACCGCCTTTGGATCACCTGCAGAACAAATAGCAAACCTTCAAGGCCATAGTGCATTCAGTCAGTGCAGGAGGAAATGGCATTTCTGGTCATCTGTTGGATGAAACCACTTTGAGACAGGAGATATGATTTCTACAGCTTTGCTAGTGTTGTGTCAGGTTATAAAGGCTACAGTGCTAGGACCTCCACAAGACTCATGGTGAAGCCAGATGTCAGAGAAACCAGAGTCTCATTTCTCAGCTCCAGAGAAGTGGGGATCTGAGGCATATGTACCACAGTATCAGAAATTGGAAACGAAGGCTCAATAGAGTTAGCTCTATGGTGCTAGGGGGTAGAAGTCAAAGGGTCAAAGGAACAATTAAGTTTTAAACTCCCCAAGATTTTTAAGCCATTAGCAGTACTGTTTGTTAGGCACTGCACCCCTAGATACATGCCTTACAGCCGCAGACTTACCCTCAGTCTTAAAGCCACATTGGACCCCCTCCAGCTGTTCAGCCCCTCCAGTGAAGCCATTGGCTATGTATGTCATAACCACTCCAGATACTTGTAAGTTTTTTCAAGTACTGTTCTTCTGCTATGATTGCTCAAGATGGCTTGCCCCAACCCATTATTCTTTGAGGTTTGATTCTTTTTTCTCTCAACAAATATAGAATGACTATTTCAATCTTGTGTGTGTGCGGCCCATTGCTGAGACGCTTTGGGGGGTACTGAAGTGAGGACGGTATATTCCTTTCCTCAAGGAGGAACTCAGTTCCTTGACAAGTAAACATTAGCAACAAAGTTAAGATGGTAAGCTCTAGAGGAAAGGGTCTTAACCCATGTTCAAGATCTTAACCAGCTGGGTGCTGGGGGCTCACACCTGTAATCTAGTTATTCACGAGGCTGAGCTCTGAGGATCATAGTTTGGAGACAGCCTGGACAGGAAAGTCTGTGAGACGCTTATCTCCAATTAACCACCACAAAGTCAGATGTAGACCTGTAGCTCAAGTGGTAGTTCCAGCTTGAAGCCAAAAAGCTGAGACAGACCCTGAGTTCAACCCCTACTACTAGCACACACCCACACACACACACACACACAGCATGCACTACTTATGGTTTGAAGCACCAAGGTGCCTTCACATAGACCTTAACAATGTGTTCTTGGGAAACTGAGTTCGCACAGGATCTGTGTGACAAAGTAATGTTCCCGTTCTTATTGGTGTTCTGGGAGTCTCACGGCCACAGCAGTCAGTTCTGGTTCTGAATGGTGACAGAGGAGAAATTGAAAACGAATACTGCTTAAACATTTTAAGGACGTTTATTTCCAAAATGCTTCCCCCTTCGTATGGTGTCAAGTAACTCTCAGAGTGTTAGCCACTTATAGAGAGGAAACCTAACTAGGTCTTTAAACTCACCTTTCTGCCCCCTTCCAGATCTCATCCTAAAGCAGGTGCCATGAGTTGAGTAAGTCAGAGGATAATTTAATGGACAGAATAAAATGGTGTCAAACCAACCAGAAGGCACAACACCCCCACGATATGTCTGAAAGGCAAGAGTCCTGAGAGTCACTGGCTGAGGTGGCTCAGCTGGTCATACTGACTTTGTAAGCAGCACTCAGCTCTGAAATTAACCTGTCAACTTAATTGAAGGGGAGAAAAGGCAGAAGGACTAGGACATAAACATCCATCCCACCCCCAGTTCAGTCACTGACATTACTCAGGCCTGGTCTGAGTGGCATTTAATCACTCTAGGCTGGTGTGCAGTTGAGGACAGCTCTTTCCAGCCTTCCCAAACCCATTCCTGGGAGTGTTCCACCAGCCATGCACCTGCCACTAGCCACAAATACTTAACTCTGAGACAGGCACGGATGCAGGCTGTTGCTGACAACATTCAAACCACACTGCAACCTTTAAAACTCAGGCTTTATGATGCAAGGGAAAGGAGGAGCTGGGAGCATGGCAGAAGTGGAGCCCCTCCTGTACCCCCCAGGTGTGCATTTCTCTCATTTTCACAATGCCCTACCCATAAGATGGCCATTTCCTGGAAATTTAATGGTAATGTAGAATTAATGTCCTGAAGTATTCTTAGAGTTGGTCATTAATTCCCCTCAGGAAATACCAGTGGTCTTTGATCAAAATTGCCTAAATTATAGGCTAGTGATCCATGTCCTCACGGAGCTTTTTTTTTTGGGGGGGGGGGGGGGAGAAGGGGAGTGTCGACCCAGCTGTTTCCAATAGATGGCGCCCACCTTCATGTAAATAAATCATTCACATTATTTGTTTTTCATTTTTCCAAGGGAGGGGGTGGGGAACCAAAGCAGCAGGGAGTGGAAAGGACTTAGTGAAGGTCCAGACAGGAATGTTCTGTCCAACGGTTGTTTCCAGGCTTGGCACGCCTCTCAGACTCTGGAGACTGAGCCACTCCAGCCTGTAGCCAAGGACCTCAACAACAGTTCAGCTTCCTGTGTGCAGCTCTGTGTTGGACAAAATAGTGATAACAAAAGGAGGGTAGGAGACTGGGGACAGGAGAGCCTGAGAAGAGTGCTTTCTTCAACCTCTGGGGAAGGGTATTGGAGAAAGCGAGACAGAACACTTCCTAAAGCCCATCCTCTGCAACTTGTGTTCCAAGGGCTGTCATGTCACGATCATAAAACACCAAACTTTCCCGTTTGCACATGGAATTGTAAATAACAAACCAGGGCCTTCTACTAAACAAATCAGACCCTAAAGGGTTTTTACAAATGCAACCTATCCCAGCTATTTTGCTGAAACGTCTTCCAGTCTCTGTGTTAAATCATATAATTCATAATATCTCAGAGAATAGTTAAAACACTGCTCTTTAAGCAAAAGATAGGTCATATGTAAATCTGACTTTGATCACAGATTTCAACCAGAGCCAAGCTGTGCAGATTTCTCAGTCTGAAATCCTGGAGACTTGACGTCATGACTCAGATGTGAATGAACAAAGAGCTTAAGGCACTTAAAGCCAGAAGCTTAAAATGGCCATCATTCTGGTTAGTGGCCCTTTTTATATGTGGCTTAAGAATTCCTAAATTATAAGGTAAGGGAGCTCTAATCCCATCTGTAACCTTAGTTTCTGCCTTACTTTACATTCTAACCAGCAGCATACTGAATATTGAGAAAATTAGTAAAATGTGGGGTCGAGGGAGTGGCTTGTCTCTCCACTTCCCAGGGTGCCTAGAAAAACTAAGCAAGTGGTAAACTAATCTGAAGGGCTGAACTTTCCCTAACCCAATCACTCTGTTGGACAAAGGATGTCCAACTGCTTGAAACAACTAACTGCATGGAGACAGGGGAAATGAACAAAACAGCTTTACTCTTAAGGTTACATGGGGCAAGATGCTGTTTCAACTCATCTCTTTATGTAGCACAGTTCCCCAATGATAACATAGGTTTCTAGCATCTTCTCAGAGAAGTTAGAAACGCTGCTAATGAAGGCACTTTTATGAGTTCAGAACTCCTTCCACCTTTCCCTGAAGTCCTGGTGTTATGTTTATGCATCCATATAGTTCCTGTTAAACTATGCAATGCACAATGATGTCAAAGAACATCATTGTATCCTACTTTACATGACCCGTCTCATACCCAATTTTTGCCTGTAATTCTGCAGTTTCCTTTTCCTGAGTTCTGTTTTCCCAGAGAGTGTGGGAGGAAGCCAGCTGGACTTTGTCTCCTGGCAATAAGAGGCCCTCAAGTTGATATACAGACATTAAAGCAGTTTCCCAGTTTGAAAAAAGCAGTGAGCAGGACTCGCTTCCACTCTCCCCTGATTTAGAAAAGGCTCTGCATTGTGTTAGTTCTGAGACCTTAGGCTCTCTGTAAAATGGGGAAAAACTGACTTGTCCAATGTGTAGACAGGTGAAGACAATTATGTAAACAATACATGCAATATCTCCACACTCAGTTTCCTTAGTAGGTCTGGTTTTTTTTTTTTTTTCTTTTTATTTTCTTTCCTTCTTCCTCCAAGGGGGTGGGAGAGTTAATGAAACTCTGGAAACCTGTAGGGAAGCAGGTCACCCATTTCAGCCAGAATCTGACCAGATGAAACCTGAAACTCTGGGAATGGATCGGAAACTCAAGCCAGCCAGAGGAGCCCTTCCCAGACCACCCTTCCTGAAAGATCCATGTGCGATTTTAGGATTTTAGGCCGCCCAGCCTCTTGCCTTCACACACCACCACCAGGGACCATGCCCCCGCCTGGTGCTGGGCGCTTGGAGGGGGTGGGGGGGTGGGGTTGGGGGAGGAACAGCCCCAGAGGGCGTGCTGGCCAGTGGCGGCTTTGCGCGTCCCCCGGGGCCCACGGGCGTCCAGGGACCGAGACCGCCCTTCCTCGGCCTCGCAGGCCGTGGGCGTGGCGAGCGCGCCGGCCTTCCTGCTGGGGCGTCCCCGCCGGGCTGGCTGGAAGTGCGCTGTGCGCGGGCGCGCGGGGGGGAAAAGAGCGGGCGCGCGCCGGGCGGGCGAGCCCGCGCGCCCCCGCCCGTCTCGCCCGGGGCCGCCCGGCCCCTCCCCGCCCCCGCGAGCTGCGCACCGGCGGCCCGCCTGACCCAGCAGCCTGCTCCCGCGCCCTTGTCCGCGCGTCCGGGCGGCGGGCTCCAGTCAGCCAGCAGCATGAGCAGCGGCGGCGACGTGGGTGGCACCGGCTGGCTGAGGAAATCGCCCCCCGAGAAGAAGTTGAGGCGCTATGTGAGTGCGGGCGACGAATGGGCGCGGCCGCCGAGGGGCTGGTATGGGGGGGAACGTCCCGATGAAGGTCCGGGAGGGGCGCACAGGCTGGGCCCTGGGAGTCTTTGGCGGGGAAGGGGGGGTGCGGCTGGGAGCGGCCGGCTCCCCGCGGCTCGGGGTGTGCTGGACACCTGCACACCTGTCACAGGTGCGCCGCCGAGGGGCGGGGCGGCAGGTTGCGAGGCCGGGCGCGCCGGGCGCGGCGGTGGCGGCGGCGGCGGCGGCGCCTCCCCGGCCGGCCTCCGGCAGAACTAAAGACACTGTGGAAGTTTATATTGGTGGTTTATGGAGACCGAGAGAGTTGATGGTCGGGGCTGGGGGGACCGCGGTTCCCCGGAGCAGGTGGAGCCCGCGGGGTAGGGGAGGGCGGCGGCGGCGGCAGGGCCGCGCAGCCGGGCCCCACCAAGGGCGAGGCGCCTTGCACCCGCTCCCCTTCCCTTTCTCCGGCCGCCCGGCCGCCCCTCCCGAGCGGCCGCCGGCTGCCTTCCAGTCCCCAGCCGCTGCATCACGGGCAGCGTCAGCGGCATGTGCAGCCCTTGTATTAAGTGACTCATTGTTTGTCCCCCCCCCCCTTTCTTTTCCTTTATTCTGTATGGCCCTCACATACACCAGAGTGACACTGCAGTTTGGTCCGCTGTAACTGACCCGCATTTGGGGGTTGTGAGGCCCTTTGATGCGGGGGGGGGGGGGGAGGGAGGGAGAGAGAGGGAGAGATGGAGCTGGGTTTTCAGTTGCCAGGTGGTGCGAACCTGACAGTGTTGACTGAAGTGGCTGGGGCAGCCTCTCCCCGAAGCGAGGCGGCATGGAGGCCGGGGGTGGGGTGGGGGGGCTGATCAGTGTGGGGTTCTGTCCTCTCGGTGCCAGCTACCGAAATTTGGCTGACACCCCTCCCCAGCCCCCACCCCCACCCCTGTCCAGGGAGTTGAGCATTAAGGAAGGCTGCTAAGAAGGCCTCCGGTTACCCCCTCTTCACTTGGCGGTGAGATGCCCTTGTTCCAGTGACTTGTGGTGCTGAACTCGGGAATCACTCCCACAGTCTGGAAGTGAGCTTTTGCCTCCCAGCTGCACTGCATCCAGGGGGCTCGGGGAGACCGGCCCTCCCTCGGCTGCACCAGGCGCTGGCCCGGGAGTTGAGGGCAGGGTGGGGTGGGGTGGGGGGTGGGCAGAAGTCTACCCGTTTCCTGCCTTTGCTCCCCAGATCAGAATCGAGGGACTTCTGGCCTCTGGAGTGAGGAAGTGACATTCTGTTTTTCAAAGGAAGTGTTGTTGTTGGGGAGTGTGAGTCTGTGGCAATGAAATCAGGCTCTTTACTTAGAACATTGACTGGGGCGGGGGGGGGGGGGGGGGGGGGGAGGGGGAAGCAGGGTAGGGGGAGATTTAGCACATGACTCTTGACCTTGCACATAGCTTGAACGTATAGTAGGAATGAGTGTGTATCTCTCTTTTAAAGCTTATTTCTGGGGGTGTTGATGGAGTCAAAGTATTGTGATTATTGATTTTTTTCTTTTGTATTAAAGTGAATTTTATTAGGATGAAAGAGGAGTCATTTGCTGGTTAGCATTTTATTCCTATTAAAAAAAAAAACAAAAAGCAACTTTGTCCCAAATAGCTTCCAGAAGTAATATATAAAACTGGATGTCATGGCAGCCAATAGAATAGTGTTCAGTAAAAAAAAAAAAAAAGCAACACTTTATTTTCAAGTTAAAACAGTATCCTAAAGAATCTTCAAACTTTGTTTTGAAACGGCTTGCAAAAAAAAGTTGCTACTGGGCTGGGAATGTGGCTTAGTGGTAGAGTGCTTGCCTAACATGCATGAAGCCCTGAGTTCAATTCCCCAGTACCACATAAACAAAAAAATAATAAAATTAAAAGAAAAAAGGAAAGTATATGTTTAAAATATTTATAGGTTGATACTGTTTCTACTGACTAACTACAACTCTTATTACCTTTTTATGACCCACTTCCTTTGTACTGTTGTTAGGGAACAAGTCTAGCTTAAAATAACCAAATTTGGAGGCTTTTGTGTCAAGCACTTTTTCACCCATTTAAACTAAACACCCTGGAGTCATGTGATGATCTCAGCCTCTCACAGATTCCCTGCAGCTCCAGCTCATAAGGCATCTGACCCAACTAGCCACAGCTGGAGTATGATGTGTTCTACTGGTGTGACAGGAAGCTGTGGAAGGTCAGCACCCCTTGTTGACATCACTTTTCATTAGAAAGTTTCCATCCCAGTGTTTGAATTCTGCCATTTTCCTCAATATTTGGAGGCCTACATTCATTAAAACCAAAGTTAGAAAAATATATTCCCCAATCCCATTGCTACTGTAAGTAGTTGCAGCTTTTGGTATACATAATAGGCAGTGGTGTTGTAGACTGGCTAATCTTTATTTCACGAATGGAAACAAAAATATGTTTTTAGGGCTTTAAAAAAAAACACCTTTTCTGATGAATTGATTCATAAGTGTAAAAGATCTACCAAGTATGTGAGAAGGTACGGGAATGGGGGGTGGAAGGGGGGGAGAAGGAAGGGAGAAAGACCAGAGACCCAGGATGGGCAGTCTGACTGTCTGTCAGACCATTCAACTGTCCAGCCATTTGACCAGAAATGCCTTTGGGCATCCTGATAGGATGGTTGCACTGGAAGCTAGCAGAGGAAACATCTCTATCCTGTCATGCACAAAGGGATGTGCACGAGCAGATATATGTACATACATATAAAGCTTAAACAGGATTTTCTTGAAAAAGATATTTACAACATACAATACCCTATAGTTTTCTATTGCTTTCATTGTTAAAAATTTAGGGGAAAGATTTGGTGATGGGACTGCTCCCTAGTGGCTACTTGAAGAAATATGAGTATTGGTTCTCATGAACAGCTACATGAAGGAAACAGTAATTTTTATTTTTATTTTCTCAGTCTCAGGCACTAGGTCAGGTTCAGGAAATAAAAGTGAATTTATCCTTTCAGTCTTAGCAAATTACCTGGCCTTCTCCTTCACAAGGAAAATCAAGGTAACCAAGGAATAGCCATGTGGCACATACTGTAATATTTCTAATTTCAACCTGTATTTGCATGGTAACTTTCCTTTCTCCATCTCCTTAGAGTAGATATCTGCCATCTGACCTAATTCCACTCTTACCAACCTACTCAGTTCCTACCATTTGTGTGATTAATCTTCAACTTCTCCCCTTAACCTTTTCCTTCCATTAGCATTCAAACATAGCTTCTTTTAACAGGATCTCCTTTTGTGTCATACTCTCCCCACCCCAGCTCGCCTTGATTTTTCCTTTTCTTCAGGGATAAACTTGTTACTGGTGTTTTTTACATGTCTTCATTTCTCACAGGTTCTGCTCAGTCTGCTGCAAGCTGAGCTCTACCCTCCTCCCCCCCCCCCCCCTCCGCCCCCCTCACTCCCCGTGCTGGGCCTTGAACTCTGGGCTTTTGCTCAAGGCTAGCGTTCAGCCACTTGAGCCACAGCACCACTTCTGGCGTTTTCTGAGTGGTTTATTGGAGGTAAGATTCTCTTAGGACTTTTCCTGCTCAGGGTGGCTTCAAACTATGATCCTCAGCTCAGCCTCCTGAGTAGCTAGGATTACAGGTGTGAGCCACCAGCACCCAGCAGGCTGAACCTCCTTTCTGATTTTTTCAAAGCTCTTCAAAAAGGCATCAGTGGCATCCAGGTCATGAGATTCAGAGGGGGTAACTCTTACTAATCTCTTCTCTTACTGGTCAGAGTTTACCACTCAATCTTTCTCAAAACATCTTTCTTTAAAGTGGTACCATGTATGCCTGGTTTTTACCCTTTGGCCACTGGAGACTGACCTTTAGACCCTATAGTGATAGTGGTAATGTAGTTTCTCCCTTTGACAATATTGTCAGTTAACCTGACTGGGATTCATTTGCATTTTGGTTATTATCAAGTTAAATGTTCATCCCCGAATTGTTTTCTCAACTCTCATATCCAACAGTTTCCTGTGCATCTTTATCTGAATGTATCACAGTCTACACAAACTTACCACACCCTAAGCCAAACTCTTCTATCCTTGTAACTCTTCTAGTTTAGTACATGATCCATTACCACCTACCCATTAAACTTAGAGTCCCAGTAACCCACTATCCCACATCTGATCTTTCACCTAAATCTGCTGGGGCTATCATCTATATCTTTTGATATGCATATCTCCTTCCCCAAAGCTGAAACTTTTTAGAGTTATTACCTCTTTACTTGTCCTCTGTTGAGCCTCTTTCTGGTCAAAGCCTAAAATCTTTTATTTTAGTTGTGTTAGTCCTAAGAGAAGAAAGGAACTGCCCAAAGTCTTCCTGCCTTATCCCAAAGCCTAAGAGATTTTAAAATTAAACATTTAATCTTGAGGGAATTGTAGATATGCATCAAATTGTAAGAAATTATCAAGTTAGATCTATGTATCTTTTATGCAGTTTCCCTAATGGTGACATTATGCAAAACTATAGTACAGTGTCATAATCAGATATTGATAATAACTGAAGACTTAAAACATTCCCATCACTATAGGATCCTTTTGTTACCTGGTATACTCACATCCTCTGCTTCCCCACACCACCACATCCCTAACCCTTGGCTGTCATTAATCTCTTTTCCATTTTCATAATCTTGTCATTTTACTATCACTAGATTCGTACAATCTGTAACTTTGTTGCAGTTTTTTTTCTTCTAACAATTCTCTAAGTTGTTACATGCATCAGTATTATAAGTAGTATTCCCTGGTATAGAATGAGTATTCCTATGTTTATTTACCCATCTGTTTTAATTTGTATTGCTATTATGACCAGCAGTGTTGAACATCTTTTCATACTATCATTCACCAGCTGTATCCACTGTTCTTCAAGATTTTTTAACCCATTTTTCTTTATGGATCATTTGCTTTTTTGATACTATTGAATTGTAAGAATTCTTTGTATGTTCAGGATGCTAGTCCTT